TCCTGAGGCTGCGGCCCGTCCTGGCACCTCCCAGTTTGCGGCATCGCCCTGTCCTACAGCAGCACCAGGGTTGGCTCTTCCAACACACACGGCGGAGACCACCAGTCTCTGCAGACCCAGCCTTCCGAGTGTGAACGAGATGGAATGGAGCCAAGAGAGGCCGGCTCCCTTGTGGCAGAGAGGGCTCATGTCTTGACTTAGTGGCTAAGACAAGTCATACTGAAGGCCTGGGAGCTTTACGGATGACAGCTGGGTCTGAGACCTGGGTGGGCTGCAGCTGCCAGGCCCCTCAACACTGCAGACCGAGCTGGAGGCAGGGAGTCCAGAACACGGCCACCGAGAGTGTCTGTGTGAGTGCTGGGGTAGGGAGGAGGCTAGGTTAGCGCTGAACGCTACACTCTAAGCGGGAATGGGGAAAGAGGGTCGTCACAGGGACGTGAGCAGCTAGGACACAAGTCTCGTGGAAATAAGAGGCAGAATGGGAGCATTTAACCTGAAAAGAGGATGCCAGGGAGTCTCTGAACTGGGACCCACTGCACGTGAAGCAGGTGCTAGCTTCTCTCCGAGGCTCTGTGGGGTGGGCCGGCGGCCAGTGGGTAGGTGGTCTGGGAAAGAGATGCTTCGTGCCCACGGGCAACAGGGTATGTATCCGCCTCTGTCCCTCCTCATTCCTGCGATGATGCAAGGTAAGCGAGAGGAACGAGAGGTCCCCACATGCAGCTCACTGCTTCGTAGGGCTGTGGACTGTGTGGAGGCCTTTGTTGAGTGAGGACCCCAACCCTGGGCTCAGATGGCCAGCCACAGCTGGGCTGGGACTGGGAGGGGCAGCACAACTCCTGATGACCAGCCCTCCACGTTCCCATGAAGCGCATCTGCACAAGTAAGTCGTGCGGGTGGAAAGCTGAATAGGAACCTTCCCTCTCCTGAAAACACATTTCCCTCTAGTCAGGTTCTTTCCCTGTCCTGGCCTTGTCTCTGGTGACCAGCCTCAGGCACAGGGACTCCCAGACTGGCCATCTGCCAAAACACAAAGAAAACTTAGAGCCAAGAGTGGAAGACACATCCCCTGGCGTGGGAGGAGGGGGGTGAGGCAGAGGGAGGACGCATCTCTGCCGCCCCGAGTGCCCTGGGCTGAGGGTGGCCACCCCATCCAGATTCTGCTGTTTTTGCCAGCCCTGCCTGAGCCTGGACTGAGCCGGCTCCGGGGATGGGCTTCTGTTGGCCAGGGCGGAGGTGCTTGCAGTGTTTTGCAGTTGCAGTTGCCTTTGGGGAATGGGAAAAAGTGAGTCAGACCCAGCTCTTTGAGCCTGGGACCCCCAGCCTGAACTCTGAGGAGACAGGAAGGCGCCCTCACCAGCTCCTGTGTTTCGGGGTGGGGGCAGCGCAGAAGCCCTGGGAAGCAAAAGCCCCTCATGTGTGTTGACATTGTAAGCTTTTCCATGGATGGGGACCAGCGTCCAGTGGAGTTGTACCCCAGCCCCAAATCTTCAAAGCCTCTGCAGACCACTGCTGCCCACAACCCTCCACAGGAGACAAGAACCAAGGGAAGGGGAGAGAGGATGAGGGGGATCCTAGAACACCTCACGGCGTGGATGCTGGGCCCAGAGGAGAGAGCACTGAAGAAGGGGGCTCTCAGAACACTCTCTAGGGTGGATGCTGGGCCTGGAGGGGAGAGCCCTGGAGAAGGGGGCTCTCAGAGCACCTTACGGAGTGGATGCTGGCCCGGAGGAGAGAGCCCTGGAGAAGGGGGCTCTCAGAGCACCTTACGGAGTGGATGCTGGCCCGGAGGAGAGAGCCATGTGGGCAGAGGACACCAGCTGCCCTCTCCAGGCACACGGAAATGGGAATCCTAAGGCTGGCCCTGCACACAGGAAACCCAGGACCAAGAAGTGTTCAGACCCTTTTATGTAGGAATTCCACCCTGGGACTGACCCTAAAGAACTGATCCTAAGGTTAAAACACACACACACACACACACACACACACACACACACACAACCACTTAAGTATTATTTACAACGGCCAAGTCTTAAAATAGATGAATTGACCAACAACAGAGGGTCGGCCATTAACCTCGGCACGCTTTCGGCTGCTAGGTGTGACGTTTAGGGAAGTCCGTGATGACATGGGAGCACGTCTATGCGGTTCAGTAGGAATGTGACAGCATGGTGTGCGGGCTACTACTGCACATGACGCCCCCCTGCCCCGCCCAGGAAACACCAAGGATGGACCGGCTCGAGGTAGAAGTTCACTTTAGTAATGGGACCCAAGACGACGTTTGCTTTCGGTACATGTGTTTCAAACTCTCCGATACGTGGATATGTTTGACAACAATTTTGATGTTTTAGAAATCCCCTCAGGCTGAAAGCGAACTGGCAGCCCGCGCATGCCTTTCCTAGCGGCCCCACGGTGGCAGCCGTAGAGAAACTTCTGCCGCAGAAGGCGTCTGTGTAGACAGAACTTGGGGGGACCCAAGACTTGGAATCTACAGAAACTTGCGTGGGGATGAAGGTTCTGGCCTCCCGATGCAGCTAGTGATGAGCTCTTCACCCTGGCCATCCCAACGATGCTCCGGAGACACGGAACTGTCCTCTCGGGGACTGAGTGCCCCAACCCTGTGGTTCTGTGGGAAGGTGATGTTATCTTGTGGGTGCCTCATAACAGAACCTGTGGATGGGTGGACCAGAGGGTAGACTGACTGCGTGTCTCAGTCATGGTGGTCAGCACGGAAGACGCACGGCTGACCAGGAGCGACGCAGGTGGTCCCGTGAGCCGGCTGTCTCTCTGTCCTCTGCTTTCTCTCCGACTCTCGGTGCTGCTCCTCCTCCCGTTGACAGTCACAGAACGAGCTGTTTCCTCTTCTCAGGAGTCTGGCTCCAGGGCAGAGAGACACAATTACCACATGCGTCCCATTTACCGACCACAGAGTCATTGATGTCCCCGTGTCAGAGTGGCGTGATGACTCGCTGTGGCAGTGCTGGCACGTCTCTGCCCTTGTCACCACGATTGTTGTTTTTGTCATCCCACAAAGGAGGATGTTTTTGTCCTTTGGTTGACGTGCTTCCGGACCCCACGGACTTGTGCCAAAATAGTATTATGGTCCCAAAAAGACCATCTGTCTCCTTACGGGGCTGAAACCATCAACAAAGTAATTAGCTCCAGAGGCGCGCACGGGTCACCGCGAAGACCCCTAGGTGAGCTAGGTGTTGCCAGCAGGCCTGCTAAAGGCGGCAGGGCAGCCTTGGGGCCAGAGGGCGTCCATGCTGTAAGTGCAGGTTCTGTGCTCCCACCTTCTGACGAGTGGGGAACCGAGGCTCCGTGAGAGGGGAAGCAACTTGCCCAAATTCCTGGCAGAGCCAGCACCAGTCAAAGCCTAAAATCCTTGGTGACTGAGGACCACCGCTCCCAGTTATGCAGTTGGGCGGGAAATGACTCAGGGAACACAGACATCTGGAACCCCCATATCAGCTCTTCTGGACGGCATGGCCTTTCTGGACTCCCTGGGCTCTCCAGGTCATTCAGAGCCTCCATGTGCCACCTGCAAGGTGCCAGTGAGTGCACTGCCCACCTCCACCCTCGCCTCCTGCAGGACCCCTCCCCTCCTGGCCTCTGTGATGCTCAGACTGTGGTTTCCTGCAAGCACGTGGGAAAAGCCCACCTCCTGCCTGAAGCCCCCGATGGCCCCAGAGCAGAGGGTGGGTCAACCTCTGCCCCCACCCTGAGCAAGGGTGTGTGACAGGAGGAGACACTCAGCCCAGGAAAAAACCAACAACGGAAAACACGCCTCGAACTTTGGGCAGTCAGCTGGACACCAAGGCCATGACGGACCTCCCGATGACAGGCCAAGAGCCCCGGTGGCAACTTCCCTTGGGGAAAGGAGACAGCCCAGGGCGGACGCGCGTCACCGCCTGCGAGGGGCAAGGGGCGGCAGCAGCGCCTCCATTTCACTGCTGAGGAAGCCGAGGCCGGAAGGGGTGACTTGGGCAGCAGCGGTGGGGCTGGGGTCCAGCTCAAGGTGTTCGCCTTCAGTCTCGCCCTGTCTCTGCCACGTCTGTCGCCACCAGCTCGCTTACCATCACGCCCGAGTTACGAAGGGGAAATTTGGCCTGCAGAAGTAACGTGGTGACCTTGCCAATCAGAGACGGTGGAGAAAGTGGCATTGCATCAGCTCCTCACCATTTTAGTGAAACGGCCAACTGGAATGAAAAGCCCGAAATCTATAAGGGGAAGGGCAGAGAGGTGTCAGCAGGATACGGTTATCGGCCCAGAGCAGAGCAGAATGGGGAGGCTCAGCCTGCAGGGAGGGGGTCACGAGAAAGCTCGCGCCTGTCTCTGAGCCCCCACAGGCGCTGCAGCTGCTCGTGCCGGGACCTGTGAAAGCAGCGCTCAACCAGAGGTCCGGGGAAGCTCCTGCCATCCCTCCCACCCAGAGCCAGGCGAGTTTTCTCAGAGCCCTCAAGACGCCCACAGTGTCCCTCCTGGGGATACGAGGAAGAGAAGCTCTGAAACCAGGCGAGGAGTCCCTGTTAGGGACATGGGTAGGTGCCTGGCCCCGAGGGATAAAGCGAGCTGTGAGACGAGCCCCTCATCCTTAGCCCCTCTCTCCCTGCAGCCCCTCCAGACTGGCAGCCAGCCCACGCCTCCCCAGGGGGCACATGGGAACTCCTGACCTGCCCACAGCGACATGAAAGGGCTTTGGGGTCTCAGTGCATGACCAGGTCCCCGTGTGATCCCACACCTGGGAAACCCTTCACAGACCCCCCAGCCCTCGCCACATACATACCTTGCACACAGTGTCCAATCAGCTTTTTACATTTTGTTTTACATTTAATCATGCATACTGTTACAGCATACGAAGTGCATTTCCCAGCATTAATACAGCATATTTAAGACCAGTCAGGAAACTGCCACACGAACTATCATCAGCAGTTAGTTCCCATTCGTGTGTCCCTTACACGCGCGGCTTCTTTTTCATTCCCTGGGTTCCTTCCCTCCCCCACTCCCATTTCCTACCATCCTCCAATCAGCTTTTTTTTTTTTTTTTTTTTGGAGAGATTTTCACTGTAGGGCGCGTGCGCTCGCCAGACAGACAGAGAGAGACATAGAGACAGAAAGCGAGAAATCACCCCCCAGGGGGGATGGCCACACCGCAATCCCTTCTCCTCCATTCTCCTCTCGGGATCTTGGGCACGCACGCACATGCGCCCAGCCTCCAATCAGCTTTTGATGTCTCTGTCCAGGTTTTTGTTTTGTTTTTGTTTTTTAAGAATTATTTTATTTAACTTTCTTTCTTTCTTTCTTTATTTATTTATTTATTTTTATTTGACCAGAAAGGGACAGAGTCAGAGAGAGTGGGGAGGGGAGTGAGAAAGCAAGCCACCAGGTCCGAGACTTGAACCGCAGTCGGCCATGAGGGAGTCCAGAGCCCTTAACCACCATGCCATCTGCTGGACCCTCTGTCTAGGCTTTAATTTTCATTTTGCTTCGACTTCAGATAGGCAGTTTGAGTTCACCCCCGTTCTCGTTCAGAGCATGCTTTCCCCACTAATCCATATAAGCCCCTCTTGTTTTCTCCTATTGATTCTTTACCCTCAAGACACGATCTCACTTCCCAAAAGCAGCCTTTATGATGTACTTAGTATAATTTCTTAAAAGCACATATTATCAGATTGTGTATGTGCATTTCTAATTCACATATGTAGCACTGAGATCTACATTTCATTCCATTTCCCCCTTTTTTTTTTTTTTGGTCATAGGGCACATGCATTTGCTAGAACGAGACGAAGAGAGGGAAAGTGAGAAATCACCCCCGGGGTTATGACCACGCCGCAATCCCTTTTCCTCCATCCTCCTTGGGATTTGGGGTATGTTTGCGCACATGCCTGGCATGATTTTCAAGCCAGTGGGTCTGGGACTTGAACTCTGGTTGCCCGTGTTGGGGTCCAGCACCTTAACCACCCTGCCACCTACTGGCCCCTCATTGTATTTTCTTACCTTGTCTCTCGACACCAGTTGCACTCGTCGTGATGCCTGCTGGTTCTGTGGGTTTTAACAAAGGCGTAGAGCCAAGTACCAACCGCTAGAACACCACGCAGAACGTTCTGTCACCCTGTAAGGCCCCCTCGTGGTCGCTCCCTTGCCCCTCCAGCCTTGGCAAATGTAATCTTTTCCATCCCTATACTTTTGCCTTTTTTTAATTGTAAAATGTCACATAAGGAGAGTCTTTTGAGTCCGCCTCTTTTACTTAAACAAATGTATTTAGAATTCATCCATATTGGGGACAGCAGGTGGCATAATGCTTATGTCACCGGACTCCCAAATAGTCAACCACAGTTCGAGTCCCAAACCCAGTGGCGCGTGTGCGTGCATGCCCAAGAACCCAAGAGGAGAGTGGAGGAGAAGGGGTTGCGGTGTGGCCATCCCCCTGGGGAGTGATTTCTCACTTTCTGTCTCTCCATCTCTCTCTGTCTCTCTGGCAAGCACACACGCATAATGCTTATGTCACCGGACTCCCAAATAGTCAACCACAGTTCGAGTCCCAAACCCAGTGGCGCGTGTGCGTGCATGCCCAAGAACCCAAGAGGAGAGTGGAGGAGAAGGGGTTGCGGTGTGGCCATCCCCCTGGGGAGTGATTTCTCACTTTCTGTCTCTCCATCTCTCTCTGTCTCTCTGGCAAGCACACACCCTATAGCAAAAATCTCTCAAAAAAAGAAGGATTCACCCACGTCGTCAGGTAGGTCAGCAGTTTGCTCCTTTTCATTTCTGAGCTGTACCCACTGCGTAACCACGCCACACCCAGCTAGTCTCCTCGCCTGCTGATGGCATCTGCTCCTTCCAGTGCTCGCTGACTGACTGAATACAGCTAGTATAAACACTCAAGAGTTTTTGTATGAAAGGAAGTTTCTGTTTCACTTGGAATGGAAATCCTGGGTCATCTAGATGTCAAGTGTATATTTAAATTTATAAGAAACCAACAAACCTACCCAAACCATTTTGTATTCCTATCAGTAAGGAACAAAGAGCCCCTTCCCTCCACACCCTCACCAACACAGAATACTAGAATACTGTCAGTTAACTTCCTTCTCAGTTTGAGCATTCTGATAGGTACACACTGCTGCCTCATTGCCATTTTAATTTGCATTTCCTTAATGATTAATTAGGCCAAGCACTTTTCATATGCTTATTTTTCATCCATCCACCTTCTTTAGGAAGTTACGGCTCAGATCCTTCACCAATCTTCCATCAGTTTGATAATTCTCTTATTGCTGACTCTTAGGGGTTCTTGATATTTTCTCCACACAAATGGTCAGATACACAATTGACAAATATTTTTCCAGGTTCCTATTTTTTATCTTCTGGAAAAAAAATTAATAGAAATCTTATAGTTTCAGGTGTTATGTTTAAATCATGGATTATTTCTTTCATACGAGATGAGAGTTTATTTTTGCATGTAAGATACGATACAGATCCAAGTCCCTTTTTCTGTGCATGTGGATTTGCAATTGTTTCATCACAATTTGCTCAAAAGATTACCACTGAATTGTCTTGGCACCTTTTTAAAAGCCAGTTGTGTACATGTGTGTGGGTCTATTTTTAGACTCTTCATTCTGTTCCATTTATCTGTCTTGACATGAATGACACACTGTTTTGATTTACTGCAGCTTTATATGTTTTGAAATCAGCTGGGATGAGTCCTCCAAACTTGTTCTTTTTCAGGACAGCTTGGGTTATTCTAGGTCTTTTGCTTTTCCGTAAGAATTTAAGAATTAGTTCGTCAATTTCACACACACAAAAAATCATTAGAGTTTGATTAGAAATGCACTGAACTGACACCTCAACTTGAGGAGAACAGACATCTTGATACTCGGTTTTCTGACCCACATACACAGACCCCTCGGCTCTTTAATTTCTCCCCACTGTGATTTGTCGCTGTCAGTGTCTTTGCTCCTGCTAACTAGCCGTAGGAGTTTCCTAGCAGATGCTCTTCTTTTTTTTCAAGTGTATGTCTACATTTTTACTCTTCCATAATGTAATAACCATTTTACTGAGCTCATCAAAACAAAGAAAATCTTTCAGAATTTTAATTGGAATTGTTTTGAATTTTAGGCAAAATTTGGGAGAACTGACATTAATATGATGTTACTTTTCATGTCTGAATCAGTTCTGATTTTATGACTTTTTAAAAATTATTTATTTTATTTATTTATTTTTTAATTTGCTATAGGACACATGCACTCACCAGGGAGAGACAGACAGAGAGAGAGGGAAAGTGGAAAAGGCAAGCTGCCAGGTTCAGGACTTGAACCATGGTCGGCCACGCGGGAGTCCAGCGCCCTAATTACCACACCACCTGTGGGCCCTATGACCATTTAATAGAGTCCATGAGAAAGGTATAATAACTACTTTCATGTGGCAACTTGACCGAGCCGAGGGGTGCCCAGAGACCTGATAAAACGTCCTGGCTGTTTCTGTGCAGGTGTTTCTAGACCAGAACAGCATTAGAATCGGCAAACGAGCAACATGGCTGAGCCTCCCCAGTGTGGATGGTACCATCTTATCTACTGAGTTTGCTTTGTTTTTTGCCAGAGGGCACGTGTGGTTACCAGAGACAGAGTAAAAGGAGCAGGGAGAGCACGCTCCTCCGCGGGGCACAGTCACACCTCTGGCTGTCTCCTCCGTTTCTCCATGCTGCTGGGGTTTGGGTATGCATACACATGTGCTTAGCGTGTGTTTCAAGCTGCTAGGCCTGGACGTTGAGTCGCACGGTCTGCCATATCAACCCAGCTCCTTTAACCACTGGGCTAAGGGGTCGGCCCTACTGAGGTGCTAAGAAAAGGAAAGAGGAAGAGTGATTCATTTTTCTGCTAGAGCTGGGACATCTCTCTTCTCCTGTCCTCAGCTTTTGACGCTCCTGGGTTTCAGCTTTTGTACTCAGACTGAGACCGGCACTACCTTTCTCCAGTTTGCAGTCAGCAGATCACAGGACCATGTGAGCCAATCCCTACATACACATACACACACATGCATATGTACATATATAGCTTTATGTATTTCTGTATAGCTGAGAGCTATACACATATTCTACTGGCTCAGCTTCTCTGAGGAGGTCGGAGACACAGGCTCCCCACTCTTTGTTACTGTAACTCTGGGGTTCTCAGCTAGGACTGGTGTCTGACTGTACTACCTCACCAGTTAATATTAGTTCTATAGAGGCCTCTGACTTTGTGAGATGGTTATGTATCCAGCCGCATTACTGAAATTTTTTGTGAGGTCTTAGAGTTTGTAAGCAGAATTCCTGGGGTCCCTAGTGACCAAACCTTCTATTTGAGTGAATGCCAAGGGATGCACAGACATTCGAGGAAAGCCTCTAGCTTGAAAACAGATACCAAATCAAATAGAGGTGATGCAGGAAGCAAAAGAAAACTTTCAAAAGACTATCCTTAATATTCTCAGAGGGCCAGGGTAGCTCAGTAGTAACACAAGCAGACCCAGACAGGAAAGCTTCTGGCTGGAGTTCCAGGACCACCTTCTACACGCGGGAAGGGTACGTGTGCCTGTGCTGTGAGCTGGGCTGGCCGGGGAGGGACGGCAGCATGAAGACCATGTTGGGGTGCCCGTCTCTCTGCTTCTCACATGGAAATAAATAAATAAATAAATAAATAAACTTTAAAAGTAATAATAATCAGAATGGGGAGAAAATGTGTACAAAAAAAAAAAAAAAAGGAGGAAGACATAGAAGTTAAATAGCTAATGTTAAAAATGTATCTCCCAGAAAGCAGAACCAAAAGAACCCTGAAGAGATGGAGAATGGGAGAGCAGTGTAAGAAAGTAAAGAGGGCACTTCAGAAGCTCTAAAAGAAAACTAATGACAGTTCCAGAAAGACAGGAAAGAGAAAATGGAGGGAAGGAGGGCACTATGATAAACAAACAACAAAAAATTAGTGCCAAAATGTCCCCTAGATCTGAAAAACCTATGTTTCTAAATTGAAAGGGTCTGCCCCATGTCCAGTAAAGTCAATAGAGAAAAAACCTCTCCTGGCATACTGGTTATGTTGCTGGGTCCCACGTGGCCAACCACGGGTCAAGTCCCAGACCCAGCGTCTTGAAACTCACGCCGGGCGCGTGTGCGTGTGTGCCCAAGATCCCAAGAGGAGAATGGAGGAGAAGGGATTGGGGCATGGCCATCTCCCCTGGGGGTGATTTCTTGGTTTTTGTCTCTCTGCCTTTCTCCCTTTTGGGGGGGCACACGGGCTCTATAAAAAAAAAAAAAAAAAAAAAAAAAAAAAAAAAAAATCTCTCTTAAAGAAAACAGAAGAAGAAAAAAGACCTACCCCAGGGCGTATCTGCCCCGAGATTCAGAGCACGGAGAATAAGCATAGATCCTAAAAGCTCCCAGAGTGGCAAAATGAAGACAGAAAGGCAGGTGACACAGAAAGGAAGGGAAGCCCGCAGGACAGAGCGCTTCTCAGCAGGCATTCTGGAAGCCAGGCTAGTTTCCAGCTGACCCAGTGATGTGCGCCTTGGGGAAAAGGTTTAGGAGGGAAAGTATCAAATTGGAATTTAAGGGTCCACAGAGAGGGCGCACTGTCCGCAGAGCAGAGCCAGTCGGGACAGCGAAGGGGACCCAGGGCCGGTTAGCGGCAGATGGCCCCTTTCTGGGCATAATTTGACTGAGCAGAGTAGCACTGGGTAAGATTCACATGGCTGCATCCCACAAAACAGGAACTTATGAAACTCACGTCTTCGTAAGCAGGATTTCCCAGCACTCTCTCTACAGAACTGCATTAGGAAACAAGAAAATAAATAGGAAAGAAGTTTGGCAAACCACATCCAATAAATACAATTTATTCTCCCTCAGGTACCACTGGGTCTCTGCTTTGGGTTTTGACAACAATAAACACGGATGTGGATTTCACTAAATACAGAAATCCGGAAACATTGCTGTGCCTGGATTAACTGTCCTAGCCGCTGAGGATTTGCTTCTGTTTTCTAAATTCAATGAGCACAGACTCATGCCATAGCTGATAGTGGAGAGGGAGTCGGACAGTGGCGCGGCGGGAAACCTGATGGTCCGTGAGGCTGGCCCACATGGAAGGTTCCGGATTCGCTTCTGGAGACCTCCCTGAGTATGCCAGGCATGCGCGTGCCCATGATGCAGGACGGCCGAGGCTGGGGGTGGATCATGGCATCAGGCCCTGCCCTCACTCCATCCCAGACCACTCACCCTCCTCCTGCATGTCCTCGCGGAATGGGTTCAGTATTTCCAGATAGCCAGCCTTCTTCTCCACCCCCAGGGTCCTGCCATAGTTCAGATGCCAGATGCTTCGCATGTGGGACCCTGCAATGCTCCTTGACAAGGCTCCTCGCTGCCTGGCTCCTCCTGCCTGAGCCCCACAGAGATCTCTGTAAACATAAGCCTGAGCATGCCACCACATCCCGAGCTCAACACGGGCAGGCTACAAGGCCTTGGGGCGCTTCAGAACCCCCTCCTTCCTCTCCTGCATTTTTCCCCTAGCAGCTTCTGCCATCCTTACAGAGCTTCCCCAAATCATCCTATTTCCAGGACTTGGGATTCTTTTCCTTGTAGCTTTCCTGTTGAACATTTTACACTTGCGTGTTAGAGACACCTCACAGAGGTGGCCAAGTAGCTGGTCATCAGACCAAGACGCCTCTGAAAATTACAGGCTACTAGGTGTGAACAGGGACATCTCAGCAAACCCCTCCACGACCACCCAGACAGAGCCAACTCCTCCAGCCTTTGCACACCCTCTATCCTCACCTCCACCTAAGCACTGCCCGGTCCATGTGACTGTGAGCTGTGGGTGCCACTGCCTCTGCACACCCCCACTGCTGAGCCAAGTGCAGTGCAGGGCCTCACCAGGGCCAAGGGGACCCTGCACTGACCCTGCACCCCTAGCTCTGGCCTGCAGTCTGCACCACACATGCCCAAACTCCTCGTGACCTCATGGCACCACCTCCCTTTGCCCTTCAAAGCTTAGCAGCTGAGCTTCACCCATTGCGCGGGTCTCAGCCCAGACCCAACCACCTGCTTCCTGCCGTCTCCAGAGCCCGCTTTGCCAGGAACCATCTGTTACTCGCATACGGATGAGCTTATGGACACCTCCTCAACCAGAACGCAAACTTCACGGGGAGATGGGCATGGAGGACAAGACCCTGAAACTCATTCTCCAAGTTCCAGGACCTAGAAGTGGTACTGGGGGGGGGGGTTGAAGGAGCACCCCAAGAGCCCCCCAGTCCCAGGAGCCTCCCAGACTCACTTTCTCCACTCCCTGAGCTTGGCTCAACCCAGCCCTTCCACAGACGCACTGACGTGGACATCTCGGGAGAGGCAAAGCCTAGCAGAGGAAGGCCTGGTCTCCTGCTCTGTGGCTGGGCCTCGGAGTGTGGTCCCTGGGGTGGCCCTGCAAGCCTCTGCTCTCAAGGCTGGCCCAGCCAGGAACACAGACGCCGCAGCCACTCACACGCCTTGTCAGACATAGATCCGCCTGGCTGCACCATAAAACCCTAACTAGGCACATAAAAGCTGCCTGCCAGCCTGCCAGGTGCCTCTGCTGGCTCCAGAGAGGCGCTGACCAGCCCCTAGACACGAGGGTCCGGGACACAGTGGCACCAGGACTGCGCAGGAGCCCAGATGCCTGGCTCCTCAGCAAAAAGGTGGAATGGCGTGGCTATGGCTGTGGGTGGCCAGCTGGAGGGACACACCCGGCCGCCCTCCTGCTCTGAGAGAGCTGGCACCCTGCAGGGTGAGTTAAGGGATGACGTTTAAGCCCCAGACACACAGGCGAAGCGCATGGTGCACACAGACACTGCGCTGAGTGGAAGGCTGTGCAGGTCACACGGAGCCAGGCTCGCCTCCACCCCATGCCGTCTGGTAGGAAGGCCACTCTCCTGCCCACTCCCCTCCCTGGGCCAGTCTTCAGAGAACCCCCTCCAGGTCTGGGGCAGGCCTGATCCCTCCCCAGTGAGAGTAGAGGGCTGTTACTCCAGAATCCCAGCTCTGGTAGGCCGGTGGGCTGGGAGGGGGGCAGACGACAAGCCCAGGCTTAGCTTCATGGGCCACCTTGCCCACAGCTCCATCCACAAGAGGACCTCAGCCCCGACTCAGCCCGTGAACACCCCTGTGCTCCTCTGAGCTATGCTGCAAAGCCACCCCATAGCCTCCTCCTTCTCTCCCAGTATCCTAACTCAGTGGTCCAGGTGGCTGTAACTGTTTGAGGATCTACAAGGGCCAGAGATAACCTTACCTCCCCCACCACCTCACTCCTTGCAGTTTTGCTCTGCCTTCCTTTCTCTGAGTTCTTGGCTTAGAGTGTCTTCCCTTCCCCCTTCCTGTGCAATTTCCTTCTCGGCTGGCATCACCTCCAGGAAGCTCCCCTGCTACCTCTCCTGACTGGCCCTGTTAGGTGTCCCTGCAGGAGCAATACCATTGCCCTAGTCCCACACCCGTTCCCCTCTGCTCACCTCACTCTTAGTCTCTGGAGACTGCCATACCACCTCTGACTCTGGGCACCCCATCTTTTTGCTTTTGCACTCCAGAATCACCTGCTCCAGTGCTTGGTTCATCAAAGATCTTTGGAAAACACTCTCCAATGGATGTGGAAGGGGGAAACTCTCCAAATCCCACTGGTGCAGTGAGAGCCAAGAAATAGCTCCAAAAGGCCCTGGAGCCAGGCTGGGGCAAGGCAGGGCTGGTGCCACCCCGAACTGCTCAGGGGCTGTTCTAGGTGTCCAGGTGAGATGAGAGCTCGTCCTTCCTTCTAGATGCCCCCAGCACTGTGGGGGTCAGGACAAGGAGGGAGCCTGGGTGCGTGGACTTGTGGAGGCCCTGAATGAGGCCGGGCTGCTGGGCGTGGAGAGGGTAGCCGGACCACCTGGGGAGGAGGCCTCCTTTCCCCAAAGTGTGGGGGCTGCCACAATGCAGCCTGGAGTGGGGCTCCAAGGGGCACCACCGTCTCTCATCCCTCCTTCATCCCGAGGAAGCCCCTCTGACTACTCAGGAGGAGGAACTGCAGAACTGGGGTTCAGAGGAGGAACATGGATGGAGAAGCCAGTTTACCCTCAACTTCCACGTCCCAGGTAGGTTTAGACCACCCGCTTCACACATGGTTTGGAGAACACCTCCATCCAGACCAAACAGGCCACTGTAGCAACATTCAACAGTGAAATGTAAGAAAATGAGTGACATAGGAAGAAACTCTATTGGAAATTTCACCTTTAGAGAGGGATGTGACAAGGCTTCCAAGTGTCAATGACATCAGAAGGATCTGATCTGGTTTTATAAAAAAAGTAAAACTTGATACATTAAAAAGATAGCATAGTAATACCACTATTTTTTGGATGGTAGCTTAAAATATGTACAAAGCCTCGGTAAATATTCATACTCTTTGATCAAATAGTTGTGCTTCTGGAAATCTGTCATTTTGTACTATTTAAAAAGTATTTGCCAAACAAAAATAATTCTTTTTTAAAAATAACTTCTTTCTCTTTTTTTCATCCTAAATATATGTATTTTTTCTTTACATTTTTCAGACTCAAATGTTTCCTGCCTCGTACCTCTCACCTCACCTCCGCCCTCCACCACTCACTCTCTACCATCACTCTCCCCACTTACAGTGGCTCATTTCACACCCACCCTTTCCACCACCGCATCTTCAATCTCTCAACCTCTGCCATAAAGTGCAGATACTCTGTGCAACTGAGTGGGGATATACAGTGCATGCCTGTCCAAGTCTGGCTCACTATTTTTTGGATGGTAGCTTAAAATATGTACAAAGCCTCGGTAAATATTCATACTCTTTGATCAAATAGTTGTGCTTCTGGAAATCTGTCATTTTGTACTATTTAAAAAGTATTTGCCAAACAAAAATAATTCTTTTTTAAAAATAACTTCTTTCTCTTTTTTTCATCCTAAATATATGTATTTTTTCTTTACATTTTTCAGACTCAAATGTTTCCTGCCTCGTACCTCTCACCTCACCTCCGCCCTCCACCACTCACTCTCTACCATCACTCTCCCCACTTACAGTGGCTCATTTCACACCCACCCTTTCCACCACCGCATCTTCAATCTCTCAACCTCTGCCATAAAGTGCAGATACTCTGTGCAACTGAGTGGGGATATACAGTGCATGCCTGTCCAAGTCTGGCTCACTTGGCTCAACATTAAGTCTTCTATATTCATCCTTTTAAGTCAAACTATAGGATCTCGTTTCTGATAGCTGTGTAATATTGCACAGAATATATGTTCCACAGCTTTGCAACTCAGTCATCAGTTTTTGAACACTTAGGTTGGTTTCACGTTTTAGCAATTGTGAATAATGCTGCAATAAACATGGATGTCCAAATGCCCCTTCAAGTGTTTTCCTGTCCTTTGGGTAAAGACCAAGGAGGAATTACTCTATCTGCAGATTCCAAGAAAACCTCCATACTGTTTTCCACAGAGGCTGCACCATTTTACATTTCCACCAACGGTGTAAGAGGGTTTCCTTTTCACCACGGTCTCACCAGCACTTGTCATTATTTTCTTTTCTGATGCTAGTCATTCTAATTAGGGTTAAATGGTATCTCATTATGGTTTTTATTTGCATTTTCCTTATGATCAGACACTTTGAGCATTTTTTCAAATGCCTCTTGGCTATCTGTAAGTCTTCCTTGGACAGTTGTCTATTCAAGTCATTTGCCCATTTTTTAATTGAATTATTTATGTTTTTATGGGCAAGCTGCTTGAGTTCCCCATATGTTCTGGACATCACTCCCTTGTCTGAGAAATAATTTACAACTATTTCCTCTCATTCTGAAGGTTGTCCTGTTACTCTATCGCTGCCTTTGCTGTGAGGAAGTGTTTCAGCTTGATGTAATCCCACTTGTCTATTTGGGAGACTATTGCCTATGCTTTAAGGGTCTTATTTAAGAAAGCTTTCTTACTCCAATATCTCCGTTTTCTACTAAATAATTCTAAATGGGGGGAGGGGGATTATGTCACAAAGATGTTTCTTTTGGTACTATTTACAATAGGGAAAAAATTGAAATAATCACTAAGAGAAGATTTGTTAACTGATGTATGGTAAAGCTAATCAATGAATTGTACAGTCAATAAAATATGCTTTAGAAAAGCTTTTGTAATATAGAGAAATGCTTACATTTTAATGCCTAGCATCAAAAGGAAAACCCAGGGGGGAACCAGCAGTTAGCGTAATGGCTATGTCGCTGGACTCCCATGTAGTCGACCGCGGTTCGCGTCCCGGACCTGGTGGCTTAAAACTCACTCCAGGCGCGTGTACATGCGTGCCCAAGACCCCGAGAGGAGAATGGAGGAGAAGGGATTGCGGCATGACCATCCCCCCTGGGGGGTGATTTCTTGCTTTCTGTCTGTCTCTGTCTGTCTGGCGAGCGCACGCGCCCTATAGCGAAAAACCTCTCCAAAGGAAAAAAATAAGAAAGGAAAACCCAGATTATATTTCAGAGGAAAGTGGAATTAAGTGTGATTTTACTTCGGTGCCACCCCCCCCCCAAAAAAAGATATCCATGAATTTTTTTAATACTATACATTTTCCATTAACTTTTTGAAACTCCCTCCTCATATATGCCTTCAAAAGGTTCAACCGTGTGGACTCAGAAGACATTTGCAGAGAAAGGCTGGAAGGAAATGGAACCTGCTAACTGAGTTTAGATGGCACAGAAATAGGGCATTTGGCTTGCCAATGGCTTGGCGGTGCCTGACCCCCCAAGTCGCCCTGTGCACACTGAGTACATGCACATGTGTCCGTGATCTTGACCAGCTGAGGCTGGGGTTGGATTACAGCGTGCATACCCCGTTGGGGGTGCCTGCCTCTCTGTCTCTCTCTCTCCCCCAGAAAAAAATAAATAAATAAACACATTGAAATTTTTCCATTTATTTATTAATATAGAATATTTTAACATATCTTTGCCTTTTACATATTCCACATATTTGTCAATGAATTTTAAGTATGTGTATAATAAAGAAGCAAATATATTTTTCAGTGAAACAAAAAGAATTCTGTTTGTGGGAGTTAGCACTTCACTCTGTGGCTCCAACTTGGGTACAGGAGAGCTGGTACATGCCCTAGGCTTCTGCCATCATGAAGTCCTGGTCACAGAGGGTGACCTTCAAGCAGGAACAGACACTGCCAGCTACATCATGTGAAAGCATCGTGCTGAGCATGAAGAACA